AGTCTATTACACTTGAAACTTCACAACAAAAACCCTACGAACGTAAAAAAAAAATCGAACATTCACAACAAAAACACTTTGAAGTACACGTGCTCAAAAATCCGACCAACCCGATCAACCCAACCCAACGTGAAATAACCCAACCCGAAGCAACTCGATGTCTAATCGAGTTGTAAAATTGTCAAACCGTAGGTATTGGGTTGATATTGGGTTACTATTATTTGAACTCAACCCAATCCGATGAACCCGATATCCTTTTATTTCTTGGATTTAATATGATTGTTTAATTTTTTTTATTAATATATACATTAAACAATTACACTATCATGTATGCTTTTCAAATACACATATTTTCAATCTATTCATATTTCTATATAACTCATTCATATATATATGTTTAGTAACTGTGAACGTATATATGTAAATTGAGAAAATTAAGTGAATATTATATACATAAGAAATATGAATAATTTGTATCAAATGGTTGATGATGAAAAAGAAATTATGAGTAAAGAAATAACATATTCAAGGTTAGAAGAATATTTTAATATACCAAAGTCTCAACCCAACCAACCCGTACGGGTTGGGTTGCACTTTGGTTTGGGGTGGGTTGGTTTAAGATTTTTCCAAACCACAAGCATTGGGTTGGGTTGTTCAAATGTCTTCAACCCGATCAACCCAACCCATGAACACCCCTACTGTGAAGGTTACCTTCACAGCGTTTTGATGTGAAAACGCTGTAAAGTTTCAAGTGTAAAAAAGTGGTCTCACGGGTCTCACAATAACAGGTTGGTCTCACGTAATCCCAAGTCTGTATACACTAGAAACTTCACAACAAAACGCTGTGAAGGTAAAAAAAAATCGAACCTTCACAATGTTGTGTTGTAAAGTTTCAAGTGTAAAAAAGTGGTCCCACGGATCTCACGAAAATAGGCTGGTCTCACGTGATCCCAAGTTTGTTTTCGTGAGACCCGTGAGACCACTTTTTTACACTTGAAACTTCACAGTAAAACGCCGTGAAAATAACGTTCACAATGTTTTTGTTGTGAAGGCTCGGTTTTTTTTACTTTCACAGCGTTTTGTTGTAAAGTTTCAAGTGTAAAAAAATGATCTTACGGGTTTCATGAAAATAGGCTGGTCCACATAACAACCAACCCTATATATAATATTATATTGTAAGGATTATGTGAACCACCAATTTTTATGCTATTTCATGAGGCATTTATACAAATAAATCTCGTTGAACAAAGAATTGAGGATGGAAGAGGATTTTGAAAAAGTTCTAGATGAATTTTCATTTTTTACTAACCTGAATATCGAACCCGTAATGCAAGCCTACTAATTTCAGGACGACCACCTGTTTTGCGGGTAGTCTGGTGTCACAACATTTAAACCTCCGTGGCTATAAGGGGATTTTTATTTCTCCTTGGATTTACGCCTGGAACTTCCAGACACTTTTGACCTTTGGAGTCAAAGCTCAAAACTAATCAGACACCACTCTTATGGTTGATGAATTTCAATTTTGAAAGGGAACACTGAGGACCAGAGCGCTACATTAAAGTAATCATAGTAGTTTTTTCAAAACGGAATCTACAGTGTGTTATCGTACCGTCAAATTAAGTTTGTTCAATATCCATTCTTCGAGAGTAGGTGTTCTAACCATAAATGCAGTAGTACAAGGTATCGTGAATGTACCGAGACGATTGATGATCAATAGTATAAAGTAGCACACCTAGGGTGTTATTCGGTCGGTTAAATCGATTTTTTGTTTACTCTGTTCGATTTAGTCGGTTTTCAAAAAAATTACAGCTAAACGATAACCAAACCGAATAAGGTTCGGTTTAATAGGTTTCGGGTTATTCGGTTTCGTTTTGTTGAGACCATAAACAAAAATAACCACAAAAGTACGGGTGAACCACTTTATAAATCTATAAGTAATCGTATTTTCTGTCGAGATGGCGAAAATATGATAGTTCAGGTGGGTTTCATTAAGCATACTTTATATTTAAATAAAGGGTATTTTAGGAAACATTTAAATGCTAAGCACATTTCTTAGAAAATGGTAACATCAAACATATATTTTTGAAAATTAGTGCTACGGGCTTGGGCGGTTTAACCTCTCAGACCACAAACCAAATTGTAATGGCGGTTTATAAAAATTTCAAACCGAGCGGTTTGACATCAAATGCACAGACCGGTCAAATCTGACCATGAAAAAGCAATCTGATCTAACTGGTTTAGACGGTTTGAGCATTCAATGGACTTTAGATATTAAACTTAAAAAACATATATAATTTATAATTTTAGATTAAATATCCATTTTGATTATGTTAGATGTTAGGTTTTATGTTGGGCTTACGATATATTTGAGTCATAGCTAATAAGTTAAAAAAAAGTTGGGCTTATTAATACTAAAATAAATAAATAATATATATATTTGGTAGTCGATTTAGTACAAACCGCCCAAAAAAGGTTCCAGACTGTAGACCGGACCGGACCGCCCGATTTTGCTATTTTCCAAACCAAACCAAACTGCCAAACGCTCAAACTGCCAAAAACGGTCCGGTTTGACTTTGTTCGGCCGATTTGAACGGTTTAACGGTTTTTTTGAACACCCCTAATTAGGACAAGATTGAACGTGGGAATTTTTTGAACAAGAAATTCCCACAAGAAATTATAAAAATTGATTCTTTAATAAATGCTTAAAAATTTGATTTGATTTAATTTAATATATTTATAACATATAATTATTGTAGCAAGTATTTTGTAACCCATATGTCAAGGCCCAATGTCTAACTTAGTTGGGCTTTGGGCCCATCTTATGATTTTTCACACTCGTAAATCCTATCCAATCATTTATTTGATACGTATTTAATCTTAAACTGATTTATGAATCGCGTTTGATACGTAAATTGATTCCATATATCCACGGTTCAAAAAGGTGGGAAGCATGACATGATGACGAGATCAAGCCTCAAACTTTACATGCCACAACAAGGACGCGGCTTTTTTCAATATTGTTAGGACTGAAAAATCAGTATTAATTGTATTCGTCTTGAAAGATTAATTTTAGTCTATAATTGTAAAGTCAGCGTGTTTGACTTTCTTAGATTAGTTTGAATTTGACTTTGTTAGTTAGGTTGACCATATAAATATGGTTTAATCTTTGTAATTAGAGTAGAGAGGAGCTTAATTGCAAAATTACATTGATAATAGAAGGTTTGACCAGAATTGAGAGGATTGACTTTTCCTCTCAATATTCATAAAGTGTTCATAGTGTTCTTATTGTTAAATCCATGAATCTGCCATTGAAGGAAGCTTAATATGAAGATTGATCAGTGATTGTGGACACACAAATATGTAAAATAAGACGATAAATTTGTATGTCACATGTAGAATTTTATATATATATATAGAGAGAGAGAGAGAGAGAGAGAGAGGTTGGTTCAAATACAACCCATTTTTTTGTGTTAACTATGCTAATCAACATTAACCAATCATGTTTCATATTTTAGTTAGGTTCAAATGTAACTCACATATTAAGTGTAAGGGTATTTAGGTAATTTGTCATTTTTATGTAACTCCCCAATATTTTAATTGGGAGTTACAAATCTTAAAATATCACTAATTGATCTTCATGTAATAATGACATGAAGTTTCACATTTGTCCATCTTACTGATTTTTACATTTCATTTTTCCTATAATGGTTTTGATATTGTAAATTTCAAAAAAGTCTCTTTTGTAAAGATTCCGTTATAGTCCGAGTAATATGGATAATCATAGAGTAAAACAGATCGACGACAATGAGAATGAAAAAGCTAAAAGCGTCTATGAATACATTTGGAATTCAAATTCCGAAAGTGAAGAAAATGATCAAACCATTCACGCACATGTTCACTCAAAAGTTGACATATGTGTTCACTCGTGCACATGTGTTCAATTGGTTCACACAATATGTCCATTTGGTTCACACACATGTTTCAATTGTTCATTAGGTTCACACATTATTTTGATGAAGATTATGAACTTAATTTTTCAATTGTTCATTAGGTTCACACATTGTTCATTAGGTTCACACATTATTCATTAGGTTCACACACATGTTTCAATCTTATCTGGATGTCGTCGCCTGGTWATCMTTCCAAATCCTCCATTGTTTTGATGAAGATTATGAACCTAATTTTTAGCTACTGATTTAAGATATTGATCGATGTGATTGACGGTTTCTTTATTGATTGAAAGTTACAGAATATGCTGACATAATAGGATACGTTAAGATCATTCACTTATTACAATTCTACCATCTGAACCATTGTGAACCTAATTTTTTTATTAATATGGTAATTAAATAATTAAATTTTTAGTCTCAATAAATGACAACCGTTGGATGTTCAAATCAACGACCAAGATCGGTTAACAAACTTAACACGATAATCTTGGTTAGTATTTGAACCAACCCATATATATATATATATATATATATATATATATATATATATATATATGGTATCACCGGAGGACGGTGGCCGGAGGCCGGAGAACGATGGCCAGAGAGAGAAGAGAGGAGAGAGGAGAGTTTTAAAATACCAAAAATATCCTTGCATTAAGATTTTAATTTAAAATTACCAAATTTATAAATTTCTTAATTTATCTATTAATTTGTGGTTAATATTGGTTCTCACAATTACCACAAACAACTCAGTTCTCCCTTGAATAGGTCCATATATATATATATATATATATATATATATATATGTTTTCTATATATTATCTAATAATGATATTAAAAAAATGTATATTTATATTATAAGAAGAAAAATCGTATAAATTATTATTATAAATATATATTTTTAATTTATTATATGTTAAATCAAATATTATAATTTCAATCGGAAAAAAATAGGAGATCGTAACGCTCTGAAAATCCTTTCCATTTTTGTATGGAGAGTATGAAGGTGTGATCACTCTTCTTTATCCATTCATTTTCATCAAAGCTACCATGGCTGCCCTCCGATTTCCAATAATCCCTTTAAATCACCCTTCTCCCATCACCAAATCCCCCAAACCACAAACTCATTTGATTAAGCCTCAAGAAAATGAAAAACATCATCAAATTCTTTACAATTCTTACTTTAAACACATTTCCTCTGTTTGTAAAGATGGGAAACTGCAAGAAGCTGTTAACATTCTTATTGAATTAGAATCCCAAAACTTCCAAATTGGAGCAGATGTTTATGGTGATTTACTTCAAGGGTGTGTTTATGACAGAAATCTTGCCCTTGGGAAGCAAATTCACTCGAGGATCATTAAAAGGGGTGAATCTTTGGTTAAAAATGGGTATATCGAAACAAAACTGGTTGTTTTCTATGCCAAGTGTGATCTTTTGGATGTTGCTTCAAGTTTGTTTCGTAGAGTTGATGAGAGAAATGTGTTCTCTTGGGCTGCCATTATTGGACTTTATTGTAGAATGGGTTTTCTTGAAAATGCGTTATTGGGATTTTGTGAAATGATAGAGAATGGGTTCGAGGCTGATAATTTTGTCGTCCCAAATGTCTTAAAGGCCTGTGGTGGTCTTCTGTTGATAGGATTTGGGAAAGGAGTTCATGGTTATGTGATGAAAATGGGTTTTGAAGGGTGTGTGTTTGTGGCAAGTAGTCTAGTAGACATGTATGGGAAGTGTGGGGCTATGGAAGATGCAAGAAAGGTGTTTGATAAAATGCCCGAAAGAAATGTAGTTACTTGGAATTCTATGATGGTTAGCTATGCTCAAAATAGGATGTACGAGGAAGCGATTCGGGTGTTTGGTGATATGAGAACAGAAGGGATTCAACCTACTGTTGTTACTATGGTAAGCTTTCTTTCGGCTTCGGCTAACCTTTGTGCTCTTCAAGAGGGTAAACAAGGCCATTCGATTGCAATTTTAAGCGGATTAGATGTGGGTAACAATAACATCATGGGTACTTCTTTGGTTAATCTGTATTCCAAGGTCGGTTTGATTGAAGATGCTGAGAAAATCTTTGGTGGGATGCTTAAAAAAGATCTTGTTGCTTGGAATTTGATGGTATCTTGTTATGTACAGCATAAGCAGATAGAAAAATTGATTCATTTGTGCCATGAAATGTTGTTAGAAGGATTAAAATTTGATTCCGTCACAATGACATTGATCACAACAGGTGCAGGCGATAGCCAGAATTTGAATCTTGGAAAAGAGGCACATTGTCAATGCATTAGAAACAACCTGGTTTTAGACGTGGCTGTTGCTAGCAGCACCATTGATATGTATGCTAAATGTAACAAAATTCATGATGCAAGAAGGGTGTTTTCATTGGTGACAAATAAAGATCTCGTCTTATGGAATACATTATTGGCTGCTTACGCTGAACTCGGTTCAAGTGGCGAGACTTTGAAGTTATTCTATCAGATGCAGTTAGAGGGTGTGCCACCAAATGTGGTTTCTTGGAATTCAGTCATTCTTGCATTATTGAAAAACGGCCAAGTCAACGAAGCCATGGTTTCATTCTCAGAAGTGCAATCTTCTGGGCTTGAGCCTAACCTGATTACGCATACTATTTTGATCTTGGGTTTGGTTCAAAATGGATTTGTGGATGAAGCAATTAAGGTGTTTCAAGAAATGCAAGAAAAAGGGATCAAACCAAATAGCGTAAGCATCGTGGGGGTACTTTCGGCCTGTAAAACCAGTGCATCTTTGCAACTTGGAAGAGCCATTCATGGATATATCTTGAGGAATGAAATGCATATGAATGCTGTATTAGCAACTTCTATGGTGGATATGTATGCCAAATGTGGGAATATAAATCAAGCGAAAAGGGTATTCGATATGCTTAAAATCAAGGAGCTACCGTTATATAATGCCATGATTTCTGGTTACGCCTTACACGGTTTGATCTCAGAAGCTTTTGCTCTCTTTAGAAAGTTGCAGATTGAAGGTTTAGAGCCAGATAACATAACTTTCACTAATCTTTTGTCACTATGCCGTCATTGTGGACTGATAACCGAAGGTTTGGAAATTTTCGTTGATATGATTATGAACGGATTGACGCCAAGTGTGGAACATTATGGTTGTGTGGTGAGTCTTCTTTCAAAATGTGGAATTGATGAGGCTTTTCGGCTTGTTAAAAGTATGCCTTTTGAGCCCGATTCACATATATTGGGATCTTTACTGGCTTCTTGTATAGAACACAACGAGACCAATCTTGCAAAGTTTTTAACCGAAAATTTGACTAAAATGGAACCACGTAATTCGGGAAATTATGTGGCTCTTTCGAATGCATATGCAGCAGCTGGAAATTGGGATGAAGTGTTAGAGTTGAGGAGTTTGATGAGAGAAAAAGGGATTAAGAAGAGTCCAGGGTGTAGTTGGGTTCAAATTGGAAGAGAACTTCATGTGTTTGTTGCTAATGATAGATCAAAATCACAAACTGAGGAGATTTACTCGACGTTGGCTTTACTGAGAACGGAAATGCAAGCGAATACGAATCCTTGATTCTTGAAATCAGGAAGAAGTGCTTTCTAGAAATGTTGCTTCGTTGGTAATGTGCAGGAATTGATTTGGAGTCACGAGGGTCCATCATCAATGGCAGAGGTTAACCACAAGGGTTGTGGCGTAGTGGTTGAGGTCTTGGGGATGTGGTGGAATATCTTATTTGCCCAAGATTCGATTACAGGCGTACACAACAGTTGTGGCCACTGAGTTTATCATGGTTGATTTCCTACCGCCACAATTTGCCGGGATTAGTCCAGACATAGCTTAGGACACCCTTCCAAAAAAGAATCAATGGCAGAGGTTTGTTTGAGATGGTAGATGAAACGAGCTAGTCCATCAACGAATGCGCGTGAACATTGGCTGCACAAGGTAAGAAGTTACAGAATCAAGACTCACTACCACAAAATCGGCTTTGCTGGATGCCAAATATGTCTAAATATCCTAATAGACTAAACAATTGTCCATCTTATGTTAAAGTGTTACAATACGTCAATAGGACACTTTTTGGACGTCTTAACAAGTTTTTTAAGACGCTTATCAAATAATGCCTCCTATTAGTATTTTTATAGGACACTTTTCTTTTTTACATGGCACTTCTTGAAATAATGTCATTATAAAAAGACTAAAAGGACGTTGTATTTCAAAAGCATCCAAAAACCTTCTTAGTACGTCCGAAAACACCCTATCAACTTGTTGTGACACGTTTACATAGGATGCACAATTGTTTGGACCTACCTAAGTCCAATAAAGCAGTGTATTAGGACATTTAGACATATTTGACGTCTTACAAAGCCAATTTTCTTGTAGCGACTATGCTGCATAATTTACTCAAACATGGAGAAGAGGACCAAATGATGCAAGCATATTAACTCAAATTTCTTGCTTGAAGGCATTGGTCTCATCAATGGAAATCATGGTTCCGCATTTAGGATGACGCGTTGATCAGATATCTAGCCGGCTGTTGCCGGATTGTCTACACATTGGAGTTGTAGGAATCTGTCTCAAGTTCATAGTTTCTATAATCAGAAGCAAAATCAGAACTGAAGGTAAGAAATTATGAATCTAATGCCTCTTTAGATATTATGATGGACCTTTTATGATCATTGACAACACTACTGAATATGAGAAGATGCATAGTGAATTGTTTGCAAGTCTGAAGAGCTTTTTGAAGCATTAGATTACAAGGTATTTGAAATTTGAAATTTGGGTTACATGGGTTTCTGGGTCAGCTTACGCTCACTGGGGCAACCACGAATGGTCTGGAGTCATCGTAGATGAACCTCCGTGACCACAAGGGCTTTTGTAGCGCTTGGATTCGAACCCCAGGTAGATGAGATTTTACACTACATCCCCTTGAAGCTTAACGAGTGCATCACAACCTAAGTGGATTTGAACCAGGGTGAATGAAATTTTATTAGTTATGATCATGATTCTAGACTTTCATTTGTTTATGTAATTAATCATCTTTTTCTAAACCAGTTGTGGGATTTCAAATCCAAACTTTCCTGCAAACCAAACACAGTATTAAAATGGAATTCGATTCCAGGTCCTACCCACCAGCATCTCTACCCCGCAACATACTGAACTTCAAGAAATCTTGAAGAAGTGCATATTTTTCGTTCTTCGAACGCTGCCAACTGGTTAGTCGTAGCATTTGAAACCGAGATTGAATTCAGCTCAAACAGGTTCATAATAAGGAATCTTAAATATTTTGAGAACCAACAAAGGTGTTCTTAATGTGCAAGACTATCCTCAAACATACAAATCTGATGTTTCACAAAGTAATAAGCATCCAAATTGTCAAGGAATATCAATCAAAAACCCTAAAAAGTCCCTTGAAATCAACCATGAAACCGTAAAAATCTCTCGAAATCAAAAAAACAGGAAAAAGTTATTTGAAATAAACCAAAAAAAACTTTAAAAATCACCCGAAAGCAACCAATTTTTTTTAAATCCCTCAAAATGGTGAAATTCTGCTTAAAACAATTGGACAAATTTACAAGCCTTATGATCCAGTTTAAAGGTGCACTCACTCAACAAAAATCATGAGTCTGCCACTGTCCATTAGAGAGATGAACAGAAGTGTTCGAGAACCAAATCTTGACCGAAAAGAACGTGGACTGATAGGATTGATCTAGAAATAGACCAACCATGTTAAGACACATAATTATTTTATTTAACATACGTCTATTTATTTTATGTTTTCATTTTTTTTTTCTCTGAGATGTGTTTTTACGTGATAGATGGACAGAAAAAAAAAAACATGAGATTTGAGGACAATTTGAAGTATAATATTTGCATATACTTGTTTTTACCATTTTATTACTTGTTAAAAATACTGAAATAAAATCTGTGTACAATTTCACAACTCAATTACTTATTTTTACGACAACAAGTGTGTTTCTGTTAGAAATACTCCCAACAACGACAAAGGATAAATCAGAAATAGGAAAACCTGTCGGGTCAAGATTGCAGGACAAGACACCGATTGAATAAAGGGGTTTCCTTCAAATCATTGGTGTTATGCGTAGGGATGGACCTACAGTGGTGCCACCATATTATTCTTCCTTCGACGGATAAAAAAAATATAGGTTTGTGAAAGGTGCAATCGTTTTAATTTGTCATCGTATGTATTTTGAAACTACAATGAGAACAAGTTTTCGTTGGTAGCGTTGGTTTGCAAAGCTTTTCTTTCACCTCAGACCCGAGTTCGAATTATGTTAGTGTCATTTTCTTAATCAAATTGTGCCATCATTTGAAAAAAAAATTATCTATATTTGTTTCTTATAGTCAAATAGTGTCACCATTTAAAATTCTTTTTCCTATATTTGTTTTTTATAATCAAATGATGCCACAATTTACAAAAACTTCTGGCATCCCTAATTTTACCTGTCATGAGGGATCATATTAACCAATTTGATTACAGTTGATTTATATTCAGTTGATACAAATAATACTCATTTTGGTTATTGTTGACAAAAACTACATGACAAAAGCTCAATCTTTCTCTCTCACACATGCACATATGTCCATGCATTATGCATATATCATACATTATACATAATGTAAGTATAGAAACAGATTCAAATGATAAACCGTTAGCTTGTTAAAAGTATGAGATAGTCAATTCAGATGTGATTCTAGAATAACAGACAGTCTTCTTTTATCCAGCTTGATTTCTTATCCTTGTTTTGTAAATTTCATACGACAGGTAAAGGGTCGATGAGCTCAGTAGAGGAGAATTTATCCTATTTTATTTAGAGGCTGGTGCATGGCCATGCATAGCCTCACCTCTTATTTGCTATAAATAGTAAGTAGTGAGTATGAGGAAGGTTTTCTGTTTTGGAAAACTTACCTTTAGCAACTTGTTTTATCAAAGGAAAGAAGGTAGAGAGTATTCTTTGAGATCTCAGTCTAAGGTGAGTGTTTATCAGTTTTGGTAAATTATGTGTTGTAGGGTTTTACCTAGTTTGTGTTGATACATGAAAATATGTTCTGTGCTTTAAGTTTGATGTATTGTGTTATCGATGGAAGCCTTGTCTGATAAGGCTGGATTATCATCCAGGCCTTGTCCGATAAGGCTGGGTCATCCAAAGCTTTGACCTGAATTGGTGGTTATCGCCCAAAGTGTTGACTGATGAGGGCACTCATCGACCAAAGATTGTCCGATAAGGGTGTTCATCACTCAAGTGCTGTCTGATGAGGGTGTTCATCACTCAAATGTTGTCTGATGAAGGTGTTCATCGTCCAAGTGTTGACTTCATCGCCCAAGTGTTGACCGGTGAGGGTGTTCATCACCCAAGCGTTGTCTGATGAGGGTGTTTATCATCCAAGCGATATCCGATGAGGGCAGTCCTCGGCCATGTACTGTCCGATGAGAATGTTCAACCAGTTATTATTCTTTATGAATATTTCCCAATGGTGAATCATTATGTTTACATATTATATACATATATCTGGCGGGGTATCTGCATTAGAGGGCGAGGAAGCCGCGATAGTTGATAAGGTACCTGCGAATAGATGGCGGACCAGCCGCACGATAGTTGACAGGGTACCTGTGATAGATGGCGGGACAGCCGCGATAGTTAACAGGATACCTACGTATAGATGGCGGGTTAACCGTGATAGTTGACAGGGTATCTGTGAAAGATGGTGGGACAACCGCGATAGTTGGCAGAATATTTATGATAAATGGCGGGCAGCCACGATGATTAGTAGATTTATCTCTGTTATGAATGTGTAAAATGTTATATGAGAGAATTTACTCATTAGACCTTTCGGTCTAACCCTCAGTTATATTAAGGGTCGTTATTCATATTTTATATCAGTTTCTTATTTACATTATGTATATACATTTTACGCTTAGTATCTCACTCATATAGAAGCGAGTGTGAATATGTTTATATTTAATTAATAATTAAAAATAAAATTATAATTAAGTTATAGGATTTTGTAATAGCTTTCTTTGAATTTTTCTTAATTAAATTTTAAAATAAAAAATAAAATCATTTGATAGTGAAATTAGAAAGGAAGGCATGGAGTGGAGGCACGTGGCGTGTTGTGGAAAAGCGAGATTTGGTGGTTTGGTGCACCGAAAGTTCACGTTAGCATTACTCTTTGGGACTCTTTCTTCCCTTTTGGTTGGCAACACTCTCATAAGTGGACTACCCTTCTGCAACCTCCAACCTTTTTTTTATTTTTTCCAAATATATTTAATTTTAATATTTCAATATATATATATATATATATATATATATATAGGGTTGGGTTCACATGAGACCAAAGGTTTTTCGTGAAACCCGTAAGACCGTACAAATTACCCTCATTTGTACAAACCACCCTCATACGTCGATTTCATTGATTAATCTTATGAAATTTTTTTATGAAATTGTTTTATCTTATGAAATTGTTTCATATAATACTTTTTTTTGATGAATTTGTTTCATATATGGTTATGCAATTGTTTTATATAATATTTAATGAAATTTTAATGAAACTGTTTCATGTATTTCTCTAAAATTAAAATAATGAAAATGATAATATCCATGATTAACACCCTACACAACAAAAATGGTTAATCAACCTCTCATAATTATAAAAAAAATGAACAAAATGAAAAATTATGATTGGTTGAATGAGGTTTGCACGGTTTGTATAAATTAAGTGGTTTTTATTTGAACGCTCCTCTCTCTCTCTCTCTCTCTCTCTCTCTATATATATATATATATGTGTGTGTGTGTGTGTGTGTGTGTGTGTGTGTGTTTCTAATTAACAAAATAAATGTGTTTACATCTCCAGTTCAACATTAAAACATTAAAAAGTAGAGGTTGATAAAGCAGACGTCTATTTTTTTCTTATCAATATATAGGGCACCTTCTTTTGACTTTTGAGAACTTAGTTGTCGTTTACCAAACATTTATCCGGGTAAGTGCTTACCGAGTCACTTTACTTTACTGGATGAATATGAAAATGACTAAAGATCTTACCCGGTAAGAGCAAAGGCAAGAATCGAGAGTGTTACCTGGTAAATGAGAACGATGATTCTTACCATGGTTAGTGCTTACTGGGATAAATTATTGCATACGATGCGTTTTAGAGAATAGAATCATACATGGTAAGTAAGCGATAGTGTTGAATTTTAACGGTAAGTTGTTTAGGTAAACGGGTCCTTAATCAAATTGTGATAACTTTAAAAACTTGTGCATCATGTGTTATTTCATATGATTTTTTCCTATCTAAGATTAGAATTTAGAATATTGATTAACATATATTTGTTTCACAGTATGTTTGTTTGGCATGTACTCGATTCACAATGTGAACACTTTTTACGTGTTTGTGAAACAAAAAATACACGTAAAAAGTTTTAGATTATGAAATGAATACATATGAAATAAATAAATTGTGAAACAAAACCTTATATAGTAGTTATCATGGATCTCACAGTTTTTGTAGTTCTCAAATGATTAAGTCCACACACACACACGCACGCACGCACGCACGCACGCACACACACACACACACATACATACATATATATATATATATATATATATATATAAGAAATGGTTCAAATGAAAATACTTTCATTTTATGAGAATGCGACACTTTTTACTATAGACAATCATATGTGATGCTATTATT